AAAATTGTGACAATCTTAGTTTTAGCTGAAGAGCTTTTATTGAAAATCTACTGGTAATCTTCTGTAAATGTTAGTCATGAACAACGCTGCTAAATCATAAAAACATTACTGCTTGCGATTAATCTGGGGAGAGACATTAACGTATTCAGTTCTAAATGGTCTCTCATCCCAGCATCCAGTAAGTACTGATAAATTGAATTAGCTTACTTAGCATGAGGTTTGCTGGGAGCTGGTTTGTAAACCTTCCCTAAGTTTCTGTTTCAGCATCCTGGCAAAGGTATGAAAAATTCAATCCCAGACCTTATTTCCTGCAAATGGCACCAGTTTGCAAGGATCTAAAAGCTTGTAAGGGTCTAAAAGCAACATTCTTCTGAATGCATCTCTAATGCTCATTTTACATACAGGTTTCACTTCCCAAAGCACAAAATAACCGGAGGCCAAGTAAACCATGAGTTCTCCATAACTGCATCCCATTGCAAGCCTACAGCCTCTGCTCAAACTAAACCTCTTCCTGTCTGCTTCCTGTGCACCCCAGGCATTTAGATTTGCAATGTGTTACACAGCCATGAAACAAACAGGAGACAGAAGCAGGGGAACATTACCAAAGCCAGTGGAAACCATCAACATGGGCATGTACAAACATGTCATAGCTGGGAACAGAGAGGCAGAGCTATGTGGGGTTGCTCAGGACTGTAACTGTGCATAGAGGCTATTCCCTGTCTGTATTTCGGTGGATAAGAGCTATCAGAGAAAACCTACATGCCCATTAACATGACAGGGATGCAGAGTGTTTGGCTCCTCAGTAACAGAGCTGTAGCCGAAAGGCAGGCATATGCAAAGGATGGGAAGGATGTCAATGTTATAGGCTGGCAACAGCGGAAGCTCTGAGCTGAAACCATAACCCCGCAGACTCCACTAACCATGTGTGGATGCATTTTCCATAGTAATTTGTATACTTTGCAAATACATCAAACACACCACTTTCTCTGCTACAATTAATTCATATCTACTTCCATTTTGACAAACTGTAATTGGAGCTGAAGCTGAACAAGAGCTAATACTGGTTAATGAAAATTCACTAAACACTGATTTGAATATTCCTCTCGTTTGCAGCCTAACTGGAGCTTGAGAGCTGCTGAAGGAATGAAGCAAATCTAATGAACATAAAACCAGCCCATCAGTGCTGCTTGCTTAGAAAGAAATGGCTGAATTATGCTGCTGGAGCAGCTTGAGCAGCTGCAGAAATGTGCTCTCCAGAGGCCCTGCCAGCGAGGTGCCCCCATGGCCAGGGCTCAGGGGGCTGCTCCAAGCTCCCTCCCAGCAGCCTCCAAACTGGGCTGTGCGTGTCTGCTATTCCCTGTGGAGACCAGCCAGACGACAGAGCTATTCCATGAAATGAATGCCTGCCAGCTGACTGCAACACTGGGATGAAGGTGCATTCATTTTATCCCAATATTTATCTTGTCCAATGCCTCCCCTTCACCTTGCTAGCAGAACCACCCAGAGGCAACTTCATGGTGTTCTTTCCCTTGGGGGGCTGTAGGGACAGAGAGGTGGAAGATGCCTGGAGATGGCTACAGGGGTGAGCCCTGCCCAGTCAGCAGAATGTATTGTACAGCAGCCACATGGGCACCTCAGTACCTTTCACGTATAGGTAATGTTCCTTCCTTTATATATGCACAAATAAAGCAGAAAAATGCCTCGAATGGATCAATTAAATCCCACCTAAGTGACACCATGGGAGGCTTTTGACCAATGCAGAAAGCTAAGATACGTTTTACTTCAGCAAAATCAGTAAATAGCTTCTCCAGCACAGCAGAAAAAAATGTAGAAAACAAGCAAACTTTAAACCACCACTTGGTGTTAAATACTTGTAAAAGCCTTTTTTCCTTAGATTAATCTCTCACATTTATCTGCTATATACATTTTGGAGACACAGTGAAAATTGCTTATTTCTAATAAAATGTAGAAACTGTACCCTGAGGAAAAATTACTGTGTTATGAAATATTTTTCCCCTCTACCACAGCCAATTTAGTTTTCATTTAAAATTCAATAACTGCATCACACTCAGAATCTTCCATGACTGTCATAATGACTTTGAACAAAAAGTGTGCTGTAAACAAGGAAGATTAAAAAGACATTATTGAGGTAATTTCTCCCCAAGTTTCTTTCACACAGACAGATGCTGAAAATGGATGTAACAGTTAGCATGAGTATGATTAGAAATAAATAGGAAAAAGGAAGCGCTTTGTTCCACAGATACTTTGGTAATAAAAGCGTTACTTCCCTATTTTATTTGAGTCCCCTTTCATTCTTTGGTGGAAGGAAACACTTTGTTGTTTCCTCACAGAAACACTGATGTAACTGAAGAAGACAAATGATATAATATTGCTAGAAAAATGCTGCCTACTTGCTGTACCACTGTCTTCCCCTGCATCTCAGGAAGGAGCTCTGACAGAAATGTGCTGTACAGGAGCTGCTGGTCCACGCTCCCAAAGTCCTGCATCTTGTTGCTTTGTCAGTAGCAGCCACTTCAGAAGAATGTGCAGAAAGAGGAGAGTCCCTTTTCTCTTTGTTCAGTCTCTGAAGACAAATTCTGCTCCTAGCATGTAGAAGGGGTAGCAATGTCCAAAAGAGCCTCTCTTGCCCACCCATGGCTCTGTTCCTTGCTGAGTGCATGGCCAGGCATACCCTCCAGAACAGCCCAGAGCCTCCGTTTTGCAGAAGGCAGCTGAATTTCTGCAGATATATTCGACAAGTAAAGCTGTGCACATCCAACTACATCACTTGGCGTCATTCCCTATGTAAAGCATCTTCACATTTACAAGAATCATTTCTATCACTTTTATTGTAACTCAAAACAACCCGAAGAGCTAGTAGGAAGCCAGTGCGCTGTAGGACGGGTGCTGTGACCCTGAGTTGCCTTGCATGGGAGCTGTGACTAATAGAAAGCAGTGGGGAACTAAACAATTTTGAAGCTCCTTGTAGAGAAAGCAATCAATGTGGCTGTTTTCCTTCTGAGATCAATTCAAGAACATTCCCTTTACAAAGAATTCTGGTGGGTTTTTTTTTCATCTGACTGTACTGTAAGATCAGTCTTCGCCTGACAAATTGTGACCTTCCTTGAGCTCATGGGCTCCACAGCTGCAGGGAAATCCTTTCCTTTTCGAAGGAAAACAGACATAAAACCCTCCAGAAACTTCTGCAAACCTTAAAAATACCTGACAATTCTTAGTTCAAGTAAATTCTATTATATGTAACTGCAAAAAGGAAACTGGAGGAAAAAAAAAGAAAAAATGGGAAAAGTGCATTTCCAGTGAAGCTGAAAACTGTATCATCATCATAAACCAGCATAGTATGTTTTACAATTCTCTACTTTTCCCACCCAAACAAATAGGAAAAACATAGTTGTACTTCCTATGGAAATGCAATGTAACAAGCTCTCTGTGCTATTTCCTGTTTGACCTCTAGAGTTAAAGTAGCTCATTACCAGTCTTCTAAAAAGTCCCATTTGCCATGCCAGCAGTCCTTATTCCTGGTGAAGAATGCAGCCCAATGTGTTCTGATCAAATTATTTCCTGAGACTTCTTTTAGCACACTTTAGACACCAGCAGTGACTGCCACAGGCACCTGCCAGGCATGAGCTGTTATGCAGCAATGGCCATCGCTGGTGCTTCATACTCTTCTATTACAACCTAATGGGAATAATTTCTGGGAAGAAGGTGAAAATTCATAAAGCTGCTCTACCTGATTATACCCACCAGCCACAGCTTCTGCACCCACTGCAGTGTCACCCGTGAAGCCCTGTTCGGTTCCTCCTTCTCTCCCTTGGCTTTTTGGCTGCTCTTGAGATCACCTACGGCACAACACACCTTCACAACAGAAATGCCCGTGGGTGCTGCTGCTTTGCAGGGGCAAAAAGAAGCACCCAGTGCAGTTGGCTGTTCTCAGGTACAGAGTGTTATCAGTCAAAACCCGCTTCTTATCCACACCCTGGGGGATCTGTTAAAAACAAAACTTTAGAGTGGCCACTACAGTCAACTTCAATTTTAACAATAAAACCTGCTCTTCCCTTCTTTCTCCAGGGCTGTACAACAAAACAGACCTGAGCAGCTGCCTTCTCCCTGAAGCAGGACTGTATGCTCTTATTTAACAGAAGCATGCAAACCCACTTCTAAACAATTCTGGTTTGATTCTTCTCCTGTTGTTTAATCAATGTACTTTAAAACGGTGATGATGGTTTTCCAGGGTTTTGCCAGGTGACTAAGTCGGAGGAAGTGTCTGCATGCCAAACCCTGATCAGATTTATGCCAGACAGACTTAGTAGTGCTCTACAGGCACAAGATCATGTTAACACCACTGGCTTTCTGTCCCTCTTCATTTATCGAAATAAACATTTATATCCCAGGAATTGATAGGCCATCTGCAAGCAGAGGTAGGAGGACATGCCCTTTTCACAAAGCTATGGCATCGGTGTCAGCAAGGAGCATGGGAATCTTTGGAAAAAATAGACTGTGAATAGCAAACAGAGCTTTTAAGAGATAAAGCAAGCTCCTATAAGTAAGCAAGAAAGTACTGGTCTGTTCTCTGACACACACAGGGTAAGAACCAGTCTCCTGCTGCACAGAACTGTTCTCAAGAAACAAACCCACTACGTGGACTTTCCACATCCACGTGGTGGGATGGTCTCTATAATTCACAAAGAATTAGGTGTTCAGATCGAGTATCTCTTCAGTGCTGTGTCTGAATCATTTGCTCAAATTGGGATTCACAAGGTATTTTAACATCTTACCATGAAAAAAATCAACAAAAATATCCCTTGCATCCAGGTACTATTAGATCTGATACTACCCACCTGATGGAAGGGTAACTCCCACAGATTACTCCATTCCAAGAAATAACTCTGATAGGGTGAACAAGAGAATTTACTAGATTTATTTCTCCTAAAGTACTGGTTCATATGAAAAATAAGGCAAAATTTCTTAAATATTTTGGTTACCTGAACCCCAGTGTGGAATGGGGACATAAGGATTGTGGAAGTCTTGGTGATTCCATCCCCTATGTGCAAAGATTGGGCACATACGCTAGGTTCATGCACATGGCTCCTGACTCCGCTACTGTTCAGCATTTGTCACTAGAGAGCTGCCACTCTCTGCAAAACAAAGAGAAAACCTGTTGTCTCCTCAAGAACTGCAATGTGTCAACCACCGTAAAAAACCAGCTTCAAATTCATAACAGCCTTTTGCTATTTTCACACGGGATCTGCTGTTTGCTATAAACACTTGTTCCTAGCCCTCAGTTTTGGGAAAGGTAAGAAACAAAAGGATGGATTCTGCTTAGTCTTAATGCCGTGCTTTTGTGCAAGAGGCAAGTTATCATGAAAGTACTTTCTTAAACCTGGCCACAGCATGCCGATTCAACAGGCAGTTTGGATTAGGAGATAAAAGGATGCTGCTCAGTCTGATTAATCAAACCCCCTTATGCTTGCCAAAGCCTAATTATTCTTTGATCTACATTAATGACTTCAGAAAGCATAGTACACCTGGTGGGAGTTCTCAATGGGGAGCATTTTAGACTGAAAGGAAAACTCCTCCCTGTGTCACAAAAACCTAATTTGCTTATATCAGTAGAATCAATTGTTTCATACAGAACTGTGGTCTCCCACAGGTCCTGTTGGGGTGTCTCAAAAGATAACATATGCAGTTTTTGCCAGTATCAAAAAGCTGTCGTTTGACAAACAGCAAACTCCATCTCAGGGTGACTTTAAAAAAAATCCCATTGCTATTGCATGCTATTCTGTCTGTAGCTTTTTATTGAACAGTCTGGCTGTAACTCACATGGGCACAGAGACACGTATCTCATACATTTCTGCATTCTCAGTGAGATGAATGAGCTGCTCGTATTCCAATTTAAAAGTCAGCAAGAGATTAATTTACAATCCAGATCCAGAAACATTCACATGGATAAGGATGACACAGCATCACAAAAGAAAAACCTATGAATAAAGCAAGTCACCCCAGATTTACTTGATTAAACTAATCCTATCATTAAAGCAAACTGCTGAAAGCAGAAGGTTTGTGCTTGTGCAATGGCACCTCATATCAGGAATTTAAGATATCAAATGGCACTTTATGGTTATCTAATGTTGGAGGCATCCAGGACCAACAGAAACATAGAGAAATATGATAGAATTATTTCTAACAAGTCTACCTGGAACTGCTTTGATTTGTACAAAATTTTAGATTGGCATGAGTAACAGATGAATCAAGATGCACAAAACAGCAGAACAAAGGCTTAAAGAATGGCCTGCATTTGTAACAAGATCAAGCTATAGTAAACTAATAATGGCCACAGGGATCTTTTTTGGTCTCCTCCATGCTGTTGAGGATAATTCTGGGAAGCTTTACCAGGAATATTTGCTCAAATCCCAGCACCAGGAGCAAAATTTCCTGCACATTTGCGGATGAGACAACGTTGACAACCTTCTAAAGTTTGAGAAGCTGATATTGTTTACTCAAGAATTTAACAAAAGAAATAAGGAACAAAGATTTTATGTAAGAATGAACTGTATCAAAATAGCTGCTGTCTACGGGGAACTCAGAAGAAGCAAAGAAACCAACACTGGTGTTTCCTCTGGGTACATGAATATTTGACAGCCCTGGAATAAATCACTGCTGGAGTTTTGCAACAAAATGACAGACATGAGTTGTGTTTGCCAGAGAATCTTGGGATGCACTGGTTTCATAAAAATATGTGGAGAAGAGGAGTAGATCAGTATGGTATCAATTGTCATTCAAAACAGAGCATCTCCTCCAAGGCTCCTGGTGTCCTCCTTCACGGTATTGGCTTCCCTCATGGGTGGTGATTCAGCTTAACAGTCTTAGGATGCAGTGAGACAAGATCTGACTTTTTGTTTTAAATTAAAAACCCCTCAAACTTTCCTGATTTAACAATAACCAAAAACAACTAGTGGTACATATCTAGAGAAAATAATTTATCCTGACCACCAGTCCAGATAAGCTTCTGGGAAATAATTCTCCCTGTAGATTCACTGATATTATTATACACTATCACAGGATTGAAAAAGACTGCTTCTTCACATCTGTTTACATGATCATGTGTTTTTCTTCAGGGCTTTCAGACCTCTTACCTCTGCATGCAGCACCAAGCAGTGTGCAAATGGCAGAATGCAACTGGAGAGTCTCCTGCTATTGACAGCTTCTAGAACTCAACTCACTGATCAAAGCAGAGAGGACAAGTCTTAAATCAAGCACAAGACAAATGATTAAACAGCTTGATGGAAAGATCAATGATGACACCCCTTTGCTTCTCTCTTCAGCATATTACAAGCACATAGTATTTTCTCTTGTAGCAGAATTCATTAGTTTAATGTGAAATGCTGTGGGAAGTGACAGCAATCATAAAGTTATGAGAAAGATTACATTTGTCTCAGATTATGTTGCCCAAAACTCTTTTTTGCTTAGTAATACTATTATTTCTTTCTCCATTTCAATATGATTCCTGCCTACATTTCATTCTTTTTTCCCCAGATGATTTTACTTTAGTCCCTTTGAATTTTAATGCTCAGGGCACAACCTGTCCAATGTATCTACGGTCAGACTCTGCAGCTGTACAGGAGTTTGTGGCCATGAGAAAGCCCAGCACCTGGAAGAAAGATACAGTCTTGCTGGTTATAAGCCAACCTTTTCCATTCAAAGCAGCAAGGCACCTAAATACCTGTATATACCCATAGTGCATATAACAGTCGCAGCTCTTGTCCTGCCAGACCCCTGATAAACTCACCCAATTCAGGCTTTAGTTGATATCAATCTATCAACCGGACTTCACTTATTTACAACAGCAGACATTCTTGCCCTTTTATGTTTGCTTTGTACTATCAGTTCCCTCTCATCAAGAAACAAACTCAATTACACTTTTCTCTACTCCAGGCTTAACTAATCAGTAGGCAAGTCCACCAGTAAGCACAGCCATTTCCAATACCTCCTCTCACACACAGATAGCTCAAATAAAAGTGTTACTTCTCTACCCCTCAAGGGGTGCAGGCACAGCCATTAATCTTCCTTTCATCTCATAGAATGCTAATAAAACAATCACCTCCCTATCTCCGAATTGGGTAGGTCCTAATTAACATGCTAATTGGGCAGATCTTCCCTAATGACTCCCAAAGCTCAGCAGTAATATGTTATTTAGATGGAAAGAGTCATCTAAAAGATAGGTAGAATTAAAAACCTGGCAAGCCAGAGCACAGTTTGGATAGACAAAACACTGAAAGGGACCTTTCTGCTACGAGAATTAACATTCTCCACCTGTCTATGCTACAGATCATATATTTACAGATCCAGCATCATGCAAGGCTCAGAGCAAGAAGCATTTTGAAGGTAATATGCAGCTGTAATAAAGAATATTATTCAAGCAGAAAGCAACCGCATATAGGTAACAATGAAGTTTTAAAATATATTCTTAAACCTGTTTATTTAAATATCTCTCTAAATAAACGTGGCTTTTATGATCTGGCACAAAAATGTACATGTTGTTTTGCAAACCCAGCAATGGCAGCAGCTCTGGCAGTTTGTATTCATGAGCAACTTCAAGATGGGTAGTTTAAGTCTTAATGGAGTTAGCCCACTGGGGCCAGTATTGTGCTTATGCAGTTAGAGGCTCAATATAATCAGATTTCTTAAAGACAGCATTTGCTCTTCTCAGAAAATAGGACTCAATAATAATTTAAATCCCCTGTTAAGCTAAACTGAAAATACTGGCAGATGCCATAAAAGTCATGGTTCTAAAGTTTTCTTTCATGCACACCTCATAGACAAAAGCAGAGTTTATGTTGGTAAAAAATTAGAAGGTTTGAGTATTACAAATCAAAAGCTTTGATGTGTCTCGAAATTTTTACTGCAGAAGTTCCTAAAAACATGGCTTTTCCCTTTTACAGTTGCACATGTAGTTGACGAGCACACTAGAGCAGGTTGGGTCTGAAAAGCAGCTTTCTGTACATACCACGCATGCAGCCAGACAATACTGCCTCACAGCCCATGGCTGTGTTAGGGAGGACAAATCCAGTATGTCAGGACCACAAAGCAGCAGCTCTGTGCAACTGAGGCACCCACTCTAAGCAACTGAGACAAACCTGAAGCATGTGATTTGGTCCCAAACTTGAAAAACTCAGGGGAAAAACAGATAATTTCCCCCTTCCCCATACTTTTGGAGCACACAGAAGGAGAAATACTGGCATGGGGACACGGCGGTATTATTTTGTATGACTTCTTGGACTTTATTTAACTCTATTTAAAAAAGCCATGAGAAGGAATCAGAACATTTCACTGCAATAGTTTGTTTCCTGATGCAGAACAATTTTTCATTAAAAGGTTTTTCTACAAGATGCCAAAAGCTACAGTGAAATGTTTTTGTTTTGATTTCTGACATTCCCTCCAGTTTCAGGTTTTATAACCCTTGTTCACAAAGCCAGCATCCTTTCCCCTCCCCTCCTCCTCCCCATTTTACAATGGCTGCAAATAATAACAAAAAAAATCTCTACCTATCGATGTTTTTCATGCATATGAAAGAAGAACAAGCAATGCAATAGTTGTTACTCATGGCTGTGACAAACCAAGAGAAAATGAGTGCAGCTGAGCTTTGGACACCTTGGACCCTTTCTTTCCGTCACTGTTTATCCAGGTAAACCTCGTCTCACTTCTAAAGATCCATTTGATTAAGAATCTGCTGGTTTCATTAACTGGCAACTGCAATACAAATATTGACTGCAGATGTACTACCAGAAGTCCTGTAAGGGGCTCATGCCCTACTCCACTAAAGTCAACGAAGCACTGATTTAAGAAAAGCTCCTAAGCTCCTTTGGTACCATACTGCGGCTCTTGTCTTTGTATGAGGCAGTTTATAGCATACGTTTAGATAAAATACTGAACAAGAGGCATCAGTTTGAACAGATGAGACAGAGGCTCAGTCACATAAAACATAGCTAAAAGAAAGCTATCCTTTTTTAGGTATGCTATACTGAAGTACATGGGATCACAAAGACACACCACTTTCCATAAACTTTGTTTTGAACAATATCAGTTTTTTCTTGGGAATTACTGACAGAAAATAGCATTATAATGAAATTAATGTAGCAAGAAACTTGTTTCTTATTGGTATTCTATTATATAGCATAATGTGGCAAGAAAGTGGGTTGAAACTGCTGCATTACAGACCAGGCTTTTCTTTCATAGCAAGTTCCTACAGAGCATCCTCATCCCTGCCTGACAAATGGGTAATTACTTTTAAGCACACAGAACTTCTTTATAACACCTTTAGGCAGCACTTTCTTATGCCACCTTCATTCACCTATAAAGGGTCTGAAGTGATGGGAACCCTGTATTTACAAAAAACATATATATCCTCCCTGGTTAAATATTCCAGCTGGACCTCTTAAAGCTGAAATGCGCCATTAGATATTACATATTCTGGCATTTGACTGGACAGGAGTAAGGGATAGCAAAACCAACTTTGTGCAGTGGGGCAACTGCTCAGTGCATCTTGTACTCAGCACTGGTCTGCTGATCATTTCAGTGTCACAACTCCTTTCCAGCCCAGGCATCAGTCTTTTCTTCCTACTGAAAGGAGAACTGTGTGAAGCAGGGCTCCGCCTTGCCCAGAGATAAAGCTGAAAAGCACTTTCTAATCCTACAACAGAGATGCAGCTTCTGGGGCAACATGCAATTTGTTACTCTCTAATTAGAATGGGTAAAGACCAAGCCCTCACATAATTAGACAATTCAAAGTAATGTTCTGTATGTGTGAGAATCCACACCAAAGAAACAGTACCATTCCAGCTGCCTAACACAGCTTCCTGGGATCTTTGGCTCTCCAAATTACCCCTAACAGAGTCAGGTAACCCGATTTCTGCTTAGGTGATCCTAGTAACTCTGGGCTACTATTTGCCCACCTAACTTTACAAATATGATTTCATCATGAAGAGTGGCTTTAGAATTGAGTTTTGCTAATAAAACGACACTTGAAATGAAAGACCACATATTATCATTCTTGTGAATGAGCCAACTCTGGTTAATGGGTAAGCCAAGTTGTGTGTAAATGCTAAAATAAAGGAAGTAAC